TGCACATCTTAATCCCTTCCCCTTTCTTACCAAGCCCCACAAACCCCTTCCCATCCAGCAATCATCAAAATGTTCTCTATGAGTCTGCTTCTGCCTTGCTTATTGATTTATCTTATTTTTTAGATTCCACATATAAGTAAAATCATGACACTTGTCCTTTGTCCAACCTACACCACCACCACATCACCCTCCAGATCCATCCATGTTTGTGCAAATGGCAAGATTTCACTCCCTTTTATGGTTGAGTTATATTCCATTGTACACATGCACCACCTCTTCTTTATGCATTTGTCCACTGATGGACACCTAGGTTGCTTCCATATCTTGGCCATCATAAACAACGCTGCAACAAACATAGAGATGCATATATCTTTTTGAAGTAAAATTGCAGAGTCCTTCTTTGTCTCGTTATAGCCTTTGTTTTAAAGTCTATTTTGTCTAAGATAAGTATTGCTCCCCAGCTTTTTTGGTTTCCATTTACGTGAAATATCCTTTTCCATTTCTTTACTTTCCATCTGTGTGTGTCTTGAGATCTGAAGTAGGTCTCTTGTAGCAGCATATATATGGGTCTTGTTTTCTTATCCATTCAGTACTCTATGTCTTTTTTTTTTATCCTCAACCGAGGACATTTTTCCATTTTTTGTTCAGATAGAGTGAAAGGGAGAGAGAGGAAGAGAGAAAGAGAAACATCAATGTGAAAGGTACACATCGAGTGGCTGCCACCCGCACAACCCTACCAGGGCTGGGGACAAACTGCAACTGAGATCCGTGCCCTTAGCGGGAACTGAACCCGGGTCTCTCTGGACTGCAGGCTGACACTCTAACCACTGAGCAAAACTGGCCAGGGCTCTATGTCTTTTGATTGAAGCATTTAAAAATTTGTTTTTTATCTTCACCCAAGGACATTTTTCCATTTTTTTATTCAGATGGAGCGGGAGGGAGAGAGAGGAAGAGAGAGAGAAACATCAACGTGAAAGGAACACATCAAGTGGCTGCCACCCACATGACCCATCCAGGGCCAGGAACAAACTGCAACCGAAGTACATGCCCTTAGCGGGAACCGAACCCGGGTCCTTCCGGACCGCAGGTGGACATTACAACCGCTGAGCCAAACTGGCCAGGGCTTGATTAGAGCATTTAATCCATTTACCTTTAAAATAATTATTGGTAGATATGTAGTTATTGCCATTTCATTATTAATTTTTTTTCTTTATTGATTTTAGAGAGAGAAGGAGGGGGAGAGAGAGAAAACATCGAGTGACTGCCTCCTGCATGCCCCCCAGTGGAGATTTGGTCCACAACCTGGGCATGTGCCCAGACCAGGAATCAAACTGGCAACCTCTTGGTGCATGGGTCGACGCTCAACCACTGAGTCACACCGGCCAGGCTCATCATTAATATTTTGGATCTTTTTTTTCTTTGTTCTTAAAGAAGCCCCTCTAACATTTCTTGTAATACTGGTTTCAAGTAACACTGGTTTGGTAGTGATGAACTCCTTCAGCTTCTTCTTTTCTGGGAAGTTCTTTATCTGTCCCTCGATTCTAACTGATAGCTTTGCTGGGTGGAGTAGTCATGGTTGTAGGTCCTTGCTGTTCATCCCTCTGAATATTCTGTGCCAATCCCTTCTGGCCTGCTAGTTTCTGTTGGGATATCAGCTAACAGCTTTATGGGAGCTCCCTCATAGGTAACTAACTGCTTTTCTCTTGCTCCTTTTAAGATTCTGTCTTTAATTTTTTGCATTTTAAGTATGATGTGTCTCGGTGTTGGCCTCTTTGGATTCATCTTGTTTGGGGCTTTCTGTGCTTCCTGGACTTGCATGTCTATTTCTTTCACCAGGTTAGGAAAGTTTTCTGTCATTATTTCTTAAAATAGGCTTTCAATTCCTTTCTCTTTCTTCTTCTGGTACCCCTATGATGTGAATGTTAGTATGTCTAATGTCCCAGAGGCTACTTAAATTATCCCCATTTTTTTGGATGTTTTTCTTTTTGCTGTTCTGATTGGGTGTCTTCTGCTACCTTGTCTTCCAACTTGCTGATTTGGTCCTCTGCTTCATCTAATCTACTGTTGATTCTTTGTAATATATTCATAATTTCAGTTATTACATTCTTTTTTATGTTTTCTATCTCCATTTTATTACTGAAGTTCTCACTGAATTCATCTTCTCTTCCCCTAAGTTCATCGAGCATCCTTATAACCAGTGTTTTGAACTCTGCATCTAGTAGATTGCTTGTCTCCATTTTGTTTCATTCTTTTTCTGGAGTTTTATTCTGTTCGTTCATTTGGGACACATTTATTTGTCTCCTCATTTTGACAGCCACCCTGAATTTGTTTCTATGTATTAGGGAGAGCTGCTATGTCTCCTGGTCTTAGTAGAGTTGCCTAATGTAGTAGGTGTCCTGTGGGGTGCAGTCTTCCTGGTGACCTGAGCCAGGTGCTCCAGGTGTGTCCCTTCTGTGGGTTGTCCCTCCTGTTGTAGTTCAGCCTTTACTGCTGTTGGCACGTCAATGGGAGGGATAGACCCTCACGCTGAGTGGTTGTAAGGAATGGCTGTGACTCCAGTGGAGAAGCTGTTGTGCAGGGGCAAAATCTACAAAGCAGGATTTGCTTTAGTGAGGCTCTGGTGCCTGTGTGTCATTTGTAGAGATAGTTGGGTAGTGCTCTGGTGTTGTCTGAAGCTGGACACTGCATGTGTTGGGCCTCTTGAGAGGGGATCTGGTGCTGGCCAATGTCAGCTGCTGCCTGTGAACTGCCTAGAACCACTTGGTATAAGCTACAAAGTAATGTCCAGATGGGTTCCACTTGTGCTGAGCTCAGAAGTGCCTGAGAGAGGCTAAACTGTGAATCAACACTGGCTGCCGCTAGTGCCAGAGTTGAGGCTGCTTAACAAGAGTACAGGGGGCATGTCAAGGCCAGATGCTATTGTTTGAGTTTTGTGAACCTTTGAGAGATTTTAGAAATGTCAGCAGCATTTGCCAAAACAAGCCATTTATTTTTTGTTTTTGTTTTTTATTGATTGATTCTAGAGAGAGAGGAAGGGAGAGGGAGAGAGGGATAGAAACATGGATGAGAGAGAACATCGATTGGCTGCCTTCCGCATGCCCCAACTGGGGATTAGGCCCACAACCTGGGCATGTGCCCTGACCAGGAATCAACCAGCAACCTCTTGGTGCATGGGTTGACGCTCAACCACTGAGCCACACTGGCTGGGCCAAGACAAGCCATTTGTATGGAAAAGCCACTGGAAGAGGCTTGGGTGGGCCCGCAAGTTGAGTAGGGAAGGGTCTTAGAGAATCACCAGGGCCGTGTGAACAGTATTAGCCAGGTGATTGAGATTCAGATATGGAGCCCATCTGCACCCATGACTGGGCTGAAGGAGGGCTCCACAAGGGAACAACTGCTTCCACCAGCACTTCCATCTGAAAGAAAGCTGCCCCTCCAGCTCTCACCCTGAAGCCAGACAATTCAGTTCCTCCTTGTATGTCTCCAGCTGCTGCCCCAGCACTAGAGTCCAGAGAGAGTAAGTTGGTCAGCAAGTTAAGTCCCTGAATGGACCCTTTAAGAGGAATGCCTGGGACTCTAGCAGCTCTCCATCTCACTCGGTCATAATCCCTGCTAGTTTTTACAACCAGAAGTTATGGGGACTTCTTTTCCCAGTACTGGAGACCTTGGCTAGAGAGTGTGGTGTGGGGCTCTGAGACTTCACTCCTCAGGATAAACCTCTACTCCTCAGGGGGAACAACCAGCTTCCCAATTCTCAACACCACAGTGGGTGGTAAACAGCCTGCATCACGTCTCCACTCCTCCTACAGGTCTCGATGTATCTTCTTCTGTACATCTTTAGTTTCAGGAGTTCTATTCAGCTAGACTTCAGGTGATTCTCAATGATGGCTGCTGTGTAGTTTAGTTGTAGTTTTGCTGTGGTTGTAAGAGGAGGTGACCACATGGTATATGTCTTCTACCACCTGACTGAAAGTCTGTTTTATCTACCTAATTTTAAACTTTAGTGTACCATGGATTGAATACTGCTAAAAGTAAAGAACTGATTGAAATTAAGTTACTTGAAATTAACTAATTAAAAAATCCCTAATATGCACATTAATTTTACAGCTAAAGAAAAATTAAAAGTGAATATTGTAAATTAATTATTCTCTAATTATTTAATTGAAACAATCAAAAACATATTAATCAATCAATGTTTTACACCATAGAAAAGACTATATTTCAATACTAGTACTCTATAGCAAAGAGTAGAAAAATAAGAGATGCTAAGGTTAAAAACAAGGTTGAAAATCCAGAGAGAAATAAAGTCTATAAACAGACAATATGACTATTCCTCCACACCTTACCTCCCACCCTCATAAAAAAAAGGGCAAGGGCAGCAAAAAGTCATTTAAAATATTCATTATACAGCTTAATCTTATAAAACTCAATTTTCACAAAACAAAATATCACACACACACACACACACACACACACACCTCCTGTAATTTCTAAAGAGATATAGCTATCAATACAAAGAACTTTTTTTTAGAGTGAGTCACCAGGAAATTGTAACTACAAACATTCATAGATTCGTAAAAGGAAAATTAATGATATAATAAAACAAAATACTTAACTCTTAAAATGTAACCAAGTATAAAACATATTGCATTTCAAAATAAGTAAGAATAGGTTCACACTCTTATACCAAAAAAAGCATTCATCAGCAAACTTTTTGTTTCAACAGTCAAACTATTTTAGAGATTGAGAATAAAAAAGTTTGACTTCCATGTAACTAAGTAATATTAACTACGAGCTCTGTTCCCTTATGATCAAGTTCAGGAACATTTATCTTTACAAAATGTTAGTTAAATCTTCAACGATCAGGGAAGTGTTCAAATTCTTGATGTGTAAACAATGTAAAATTACAAACTGAATGCAGATGTTTAATATGCTACAAAGCAAAGAAGAATTAATGGGCTAAATAAAGGCAGAACCTTTCAGATGAACTTGATACTTACCAATAATCCACAGTATAAGAAGATAGTCTATTCTTTCAAGGGCTGGTCCCATAGTGTTTTTCTTATCCTCATTGTAGACAAGAGAGTACAGGTTTAGTAACAGCAAGAATGTGAAATATGATGCTCCATGAATAATAAATTTCATAAAAGGTGTATGAATGATTCTGCCAAATTGAGATTTGGGAGCTATCAAATAGCAAAGAGACAAAAGTGGCCAAAAGATGCCAACTGTTAAAACAGTCATTATCTTCTTACAGGTGGGCTTACGTCGGTAACCTGACATCTGTCCAAACCAAACAGTGTTCAGAAACTGCTGGCAGTTAGACTGAGATACAAACTGAAAAAGAATACACACATACAAAAAAAGTAAAGTGAAACCTGTAAATGTAATAAAATCTCGTAATAATACCATTATTTAATTAATATTCAAAGTTTTAATAATAGCATAAAATCAATTTTATATGGTCCACATAAATTTTTTTCTTACACGTAACAGAGTGTAGAGGTAAGAGCATAGACTCTGGAGCCAGATTACCTAGATTCAAATTTAGGCTTTGCTACTGATTAAATGACCTTGAGCAAGTTTTTAAGCCTCTCTAAGTCTCCAATTCCCTATGTATAAAATGAAGATAGTAATAGTATCTACTTCATAAACTTGTTGCAAGGATTAAATGTAAAGCTCTTAAAATAGTGCCTGGTTCATAGCATGCACTATTACATATTAATGATTATTAAACTAGCCTACTTAGCTTTTTTGCAACATTTAATTTATAAATACTCATAATAATGTTTATAAAAGTTCAAAGTTAACAAGTAAAATCATAGAAAGATACTTCAGCCTACAAAAACTAATGATTTCAGTTCTAGGAAACCAACATGTCAAGAAAGTAAAGCAATCAAAGTATAAACATCAGACATATTTATGACCTATAAAAAAGAAAACTTAAAATGCAATCAAGATACTCTTGAATCTGCTTAAAACTGAATTCTGTGTAAGAAGGAATAATATTCCCAAATAAGAAGAAAATTCTAGTTCAAGTAAAGAGAATATTTTACCAAAGCTTATAAAGCTTTTTAGTTCACAAGTTCCAGAAGCAGTATTGTCCCAATATAATGCTCATTTAAGGATTCTGACAACTCTACATATAGCAATGTAATCAGGTTTGAAAGTACCAAAGTAAATCACAGTGATCATAACATCATTCAGGTATCTAAATAATATTTAGTCAATCTTCAGTTTTAAAATGATTTATCCTGAGGCATAATTTATAGAATGTAACACTCGGAAACAAAAAAAGATTCTGTTGTTTATTGTGCTTATCAAGATATTTCCTAATATACTATACTTTTTTTGACACTTAAGTCTTACTTCATTCTTTATTTTTCTGCTCAAAGTCAGGTGTTCTTGGAAAATCTTAATTTATCTTTCTGGATGAAATACTGGAGATAGAAATGGCTTTTTCTCCACTAACTACCCAATTTAATAACATCCCAAACTTAGTGCTTACCCTTCTCCCAAATATCAAAGCAATCTCAGGACTGTTTGCTGTCCCTGCCATCCCTCTATATAATGATGACTTAATTAATAGTCATGTTAAATATATAACTGGAAAAACAAAATTTCAATTGGAAATGTTGTAAGTCTATGGTGGATTTTAAATTCTTTGATACACTTCTAATCAAGAGGTGGGCTGTCAGTGTTTTTTACCCTTCAACAAACTTGTGATGGCTTTACCCAGGAGATTCTGGAAGAAGTGATGCTATGTGACTTCTGAAGGTAGGTCATAACAGGCCATGCAGCTTCCACTTTGAAGAATGCTTGCTCTTGGAGCCATAAACTGCCATGTGCAAAGTCCTCCTACCCTGGAGCCACCCTGTTGTGAGGAAGTCCAAGCTGCATGGAGGCACTCTAGACAGCCCTCAGAGGAGTCTCAGACCCTCTCCCGTAGCCAGCCCACCATGACAACCGTGCTCCTCCACGGTTCCAGTTCTCAGGAGGCCCACCCTAGAGACCCATTCACCCGAGCACCCAGCCCACTCAGAGCTCCCTGTTTGAGTCCTCAGCTGCTGCTCAGGCACCAGACATGACTGAAGAAGCCTCCAGATTGCAGCCCCAGTAATTAGAGCTATCTCCAGACGAGGCCCTACACACAGGGAGACAGAGGCAAATCATCTTTGCTATGTCCTTTCCTAATTCCCAATCTAGAGGATCCAAAAGCATTATAAAATGATTATGAAACTATTATAAAATGATTATAAAATGCTATTTTATGCCACTAATTATTAGGGTAGTTATTCAGGATGAAATACCTGAATAAAGTTTACCAACTATTTGGGAAAATATTATCTTCTCCTTTAAATCATATTTAGAAATCTAGTTTCAAAAGCTATTTTACATTTTCATGCATCCTTAAAATTATAGAGTATCTTCCTTTCAACTAAAAATATTACTATTTACTTCCTTTCTTTTCATCTTCTTTAGAATGAAACACTTGGTACCTCTTGTGTGTCCTTCAGGGATATAAATATATTATTAGGAAACTGCCTCTTGGTTTTTTCTTCCTAACCAGGATAACCTTGGTTCTTTCCACCTTTCTTTCATATTCTTTTCTCAATCACTTAAGTTGATTTTGCATCTTGTTATTTTTCTATTCCATCATTTTCTAAAATTTCATGTCTATCTTAAGTTGTAGAACAACGAAATTAACCTAAGATCTAGTTAATAATGTCTAGTCAAAATGTATATAAGTAGATTATGTTGGGGTTTCTATTTTCTTTCTACTTACTGTATTTCCCTTTTAAACCACATAGGTATTCTTGTACCAATTTTTTCCCCTATAAATGTTTTACCTTAACCAAGAACCTTGGAATATTGAAAAAAAAAAGATTTGAAGCCAGAGATCTGGATAAGCAATATCTATCTAGGTTAATCTTAAAGTAAACATCCGAAAATTGCTGTATCAAACCTATTGTGAGGTTCAAATTTTCAACCAAAATAAAAAAAATAATTATGTTCTTAGCATCAAAGGTCCTGTATTTTGCCTTCTATGTATTTCAGGCCCCATTTTTATATTAAAATAAATTTGATAAATAAGTTTTATTCCAACATCTATGTTGATAATAAAAATAATGGGTATTAGAAGCAATACCTTTAAATGGGTGTTAGAAGCAATACCTCTAAAGTACCATTTATCAATACTCCATACTGTCAATTGGATATCATTGTCTACATATAAAATTTTCAGTAAATTATCCCTAAAATGAAATTTAAAATGCATACCTTCCTTCTTCAAGTTCCTGAATCATGTGTATGTATGTGTATGGGGAGAAGATATAGGTATTTCCCTTAATAGGAAGGGATGATGCCAGAAGAGCCAGATTCAACTTAGTTATCTTATCATGCGCCTCTCCACCTTTGGGTTTCACAATGAATTAACAAATAAAAATCAGGAAACATAATATCTGAGACCTTATTTTTAAACAGAAAGGCACTATTACTAAAAAAGTAACCAGATCAATAAAACAAACTATGACAAACAACACACAAGATGGAAACTTCATTATGAGGTCACGGTACAAGATCTTACCTGTGTAGCTACTATTTTGCAAAAACATTAAATTAATATACATATTACTATTATAATTAAAATTGTTAAAAATAATAGTAACTACCCCTGGACACTTGCTTAGTGCTAGTACTCATCATACTAAACTCTTAACTATATATCCTTAATTAATTCTTAAAACTAAACCTCAGACAGATTTAATCACTTCCCCAAGCACATACATTTTTATGAAGCAGAACTAGGATCACGATTTATATATGTGCTGCTCCAAAGCCTTTGCTCTGAGCCACTAAACTACTGTGGAGAAAATCATTTAAATATATCACAGAAACCCTCATACCTCCTTTTGGTTATATTTGATAGCAAGTTTTAGACGACTTAAATTCATTCTTTCTTCTAATAATCCCCGTTTGTCAAGAGGCTCATCACTAGATGTATGGTTTAGAATAACTTCCAATTCACGTGAATTCCGGGCTTGTGCAAGCAAATCTTTAGCAAACATTTTACATTGCCGGGCTAGTTCCTCATAATCATTCCTGCAAAATGCAACAATTGATTATTAGACACGTCATTTCCATCTTCTAACTAAGCTATTTTCACTAGAAAACTTTTACTTGGTAATATTTTCGTTCTGATAATGGTACACAAAATCTGAAGTCATTATGTGCTGACTGTCAAAGGAACCTACTGTGCATTAATTCTCTACAGCTTTGGGGAAAACCATAACACAATTATGTTCCTGGTGTTCACACTAATAATCTTAGATAAACACATGTTTCCAGATATATATACTGATATTCCTAGAAATTCCGATAATATTTGTCATCCAGTTCTTCATTTAACTCATTTGCCCTTAATTCTCTATAAGTTTGGTATAAAACTTCCTTTCATATTACTTATCTAAACAAAAGATGATATATTAATGCTAACTAATAAATATTATTACACGGTTTTTTGTTTTTTCAATAATAATCTACAACATGTTTATGCTACTTCTAATATTAAAATAGTATTCTGATTCACTTTAAAGTGCTCATTTGAAAAAAAATCCGAGTTAGTAAGAAAGATACTGAAACACACCTAGTAAAGAATTCTCTTTCAGAATCACAATTCCTTGAAACTTAGAATTTAATTGCTTGTTAAACACAGGCCTAAATCCATTAAAACTAAAAAGTTTTAATGGATAATTAAAAAAATCAATTATATTAAACTTATGTCTGAGTATAATAATTAAGAATAAAGTTAGAAATAAATATGAGTCAACTGAACTTCAGAAAATAATTATTTATTTATTATTTTTTTCTTAAAGGAGAAATAGAAAGATTTCCTATTGATTAATATTTCTGCACAATGGAATCTTTCATAAACTGGCTGCATAAAATTATAACTCAAAAAATGAAAAACTCTTAAGGGCTAACATTTTTCTCATCCATTCTTTGCAACCAAAATACCTAAGAATAAATAGTTGGATTTCTTTAACAACTGAATTACCCGCTTCTTAGTCTAGGAATCTAATTGCAGATAGAAGCATTCATCTAAAGTGTTTATTTTTGCAAAGATAGCTCACCTTTAGATAAAGATTATAAAACCACTAGATTCGAAGGTAAAATTAATACATTTTATAAATCTAATTTGCTTAAGCTCTACTAGATGACTGGAAGACTGACAGTAGCTGTATAGCTTAGATGGAAATATCGTAGGCTAGACGCAAGGAGTCCTCTGTTCTAGTTACGACTCTGCTCCTACTTTCAGTATAAACTCTGTTTCTAATTAATGTTGGTATCAGTAAAACATCTAACCTATATACAGTCGATCAAATTCCCTGCCTATAAAAACAAAGGACCATAGAAATAGATTCTGTGATCACTTCAAAATCTAATTTTTTATTCTATGATTATAATATAATCATAGTAGTTGTTTCAAATCCCTTTTGGAAGGAGCTGAATGAATTCTATTTTATATGGTAGCTCAAGTCTTCAATTATGGGATTACAATAGAAAATTCTTCATATTTAAAAGGAATAATTTATTTACAATCTCATGTGCTAATAAAATCAGAAGTAGCAACAAGTTACATTTTAAGCATCTTATATGTTCATCCAAGCATATGCTTACTTTATGTCATTTCAAGTTGAAATAAATTTTAATTTATCCAAATTAAAATATAGTAGTTCTAAACTTAAAAACTTATAAACAGGTTATTTTTAAAAAGTTTCTAGAACTCAGAGCTATCAAGAACACACTATGTATTGCTATAAAGGCAAAAGAAAATTGTAAGCTTCACTTTGACCTTCCAGTAAGTCGAAGTTTGAATTTTCCCAACTTATCAAATCACTGGAGGAGAGCAATGTAAGACAGGGGCTCTACCATCAGCTGGACATGAAAGGAAAGGTGCGGACTGGCAAGAAATTTTGACCAATTCTTCCTTCTTTGGAGGGCACCAGGGATACTTTAACATAAGGGAAAGTCTCAAAGGTTCTCCTCAAGTTTACTAAATGTGATTTTCTAAAAAAAATTTTTAAATGTCTATCAGTAGTTTAATAGGCCGCATTTTCCAAAGACCCCCCCCCCCAACTTATGTCCCTAAGTAGAAATGATAACAGTAATTCTTTTGGTCTACAAAGTGCCAGGTATGCACACAACTTTTCACTTCAGAAGAAATGTCTACATGCTATGCTTCTCCTAATAGAAACTCTCACCAAACAGTGAATAAACAGTAAAAACAGACTAGGTCTTTGTGTATGGAACATCCCTGATATACAGAAAGCATTCTATATGCTTCTAAAAGTTATGAAGAATCATACACCAAGGACAATTATAGGATGTGGAATGCGGGGAGGTAGGACAGAGAGCAGTTAAAATTTTTCTTTTTTTTATCCTCACCTGAGGACATTTTTGCATTTATCTTCAGATACAGTGGGAGGGAGAGAGGGAGAAAGAGAGAGAGAGAGAGAAACATGGATGCAAGAGAGAAACATCAAGTGGCTGCCACCTACACAACCCCAATCCGGGGCTGGGCACAAAATGCAACCGAGGTACGTGCCCTTAGCGGGAACCAAACCCAGGACTCTCTGGTCCGTGCGCTGACACTCTAACTGCTGAGCCAAACCAGCCAGGGCTATAATTGTGTTCTTGTTTAAGGCTGCCACTCCTACTACTCTTCACACTGCCCTAGGATGCCTTTGGCAATGCTGAACAAAGCAGAGATTCAAGGGTGGTACAAGAAGGGCAGAGCGCAGGTGGGGAAGAAGTGACCTAAATTATACCAGGGTCTTTTCCACTGAGGGAGAAGGAAAATCCCAAGTAGATGGCAGTAAGTTCTGGTCGACTTGGATCAAATACATATTATAATTTGGCCTATGAAAAAATTCAAGCTGAAAATATTCTGGGAAAAAAAAAGATAAAATTTATAATTCCATTCATTCCTACCTGAATTCCACCTCCACAAGGCTTAATTCTTTTAAATCGGCACTAAGTTCAAATGCTCTAAGAATTGGATCCTCCTCTGTTAACATTATTAGAGCTGGACTGGCCAAACAACGATATATATCAAGACGAAACCTGTGACAAAAATGTATTCCATAATGTAAAAGAAAATTATTATATATATATATATATATATATATGATTAGTCTTTTTAATTCACAATTTTCACAAATTTAAAATTATAGTATTATAAAATCAAAAGAAAATAAAACAAATATAGCTATTACAAAATAACTTGCATAAAAAGAAACAAAATATTTTGATATAAATATTGAAAATTTTCCTATTCCTGAATCCAACCTCATTTTAAATGAAATTCTAATAACTAATACATTTTTATTATTAATTCTTTTCTTCTCCAATAATAGAGAGTACTTTAATATGCTAAATATATGTAACACATGACTTATTCAACTAGGTTATTTTTCAAAGATGTTTCAAATCTCAAGAATGAAATCATGCATGTATGTATAATCTAGCTGAGTATTTACTCCCTTTACCTTCTGTAAAGTAATTAATGTTCATATTCAAAATCTAAATAGGAACCAAACCAGAAAAATTTTGCTATAATTCTTTCATTTATAAATATGTAATTCTTAATTTGTGAATTTGGTAGATGTTATATAATGTATATTTTTCTTTAAAATATAAAATTAAGCCCTGGCCTGTTTGGCTCAGCAGTTAGAGCATTGGCCCGTGAACCAGAGAGTCAAAGGTTTAATTTGGTCAAGGGCACATACCTCAGTTACGGTTTGGTCCCCAGCCCTGGTCGGGGTCATGCGGGAGGCAACCAATCAATGTGTCTCTCTCACATCCACACATCTCTCTCCTTCCCACACTATCTAAAGACAAATGGAAAAATATCCTCAGGTGAGGATTATATATGTGTGTGTGTGTGTGTGTGTGTGTGTGTGTGTGTGTGTATGTGTATACAAAAGTAACACATGCTTATTATTTTAAAAAAGCAAGTAGTTTAGAGAGAGAGTATTCTAATCATTTGGGTGATAGTAACATGTCAATGTCTGTTCATCTATTATAATAAATATACTACACTGGTGAGAGATGAGGTAGGCTGTGAGAGGGTCAAGAGTATGGGGAAACTCTCTGTACTTTCTCCTCAATTTTACTGAGCCTGAAACTGCTCTAAAATGCAGTCCATTAATAACTTAAAAAACCATCCACCAAAAAAGAAATCACAAAACAAATTGGAAGATACTTTAAACACACATTAGAAAGAAAGCAAAATCTAAAATCAATAAGCTATATTTCTAACTTAAGAAGTTAAAAAAAGAGGACATTCCAAAATAGCAGCAGAATAAACGGAAGCTACACAAACCATCTCCCAGGACCAAACTGCAATTACAACTAAAATAACGACAAATCATCAGGAAAAACCAATAGAAAAGCAGCTGGAGAAGAACCATATAACCAGGGACAGAAAAAGGACACTATATCAAGCCTGGTAGGAAATGCAGAGGCGTGAGAGGGTGGGCTGGGAGCCCAGGAACAGCAACTGTTTTAGCTGTAAGCAGCTCCCTCAGGGTTAAAATCCCAAGCCAGCTCCACAGTGCATAGAACTGGGACAGAGTGCTAAATTAGCTTAAGCCACTCACCTTGGACTCCAGCAGAGGGAGGATGGACAGAACTAGAACTGTGTGGAGACTCAGGAGCTTGGAGAGGTGAGAGGACAATGGGAGTTTTTTGCAGAATCACTCCCTCATAAAACAGTAGCCATCCTACTCAAAGAGCCCCTTCCCAGAGCCCCAGGGAGAAGCAACAGCCCCTCCCTCAGGAATTTAACACCACCCAGCCAGCCAGAGAAATGCAAATTGAGGCTCATTAAAAGCCAGCATCGTCCCACTCTCTGGAAATCCTCTTACCCTGAACACCTGAGGAAGTTTTTCATTCAGTTGAGGGCTACAACACAAGGCTCATCAAGTAACTGAGACTAATAGCTTCTGGGAAAAAAGCTAGAGGATAAATGAACCTTTCCTGGGCTTGCAAATCTACCCAGGAAAGTAAGACTTGACGGTGGTGTTTAATTTGAGTCCTCCCATGCTCATCCAAACCCAGTGAAGGGAGCCACAATCAGTGGAACACCAACACCCACAGGGAAAATTTGCCAGGCCCCAAAACCCACTGAGACAGCCAAAATGGTGAAACAAAGAAACAAATCCCAAATGAAAGAACACGAGAACTCTACCGAAGAAGAGATAAATAAAATGCAGTTAAGCAAGTTATCAGAGGTAGAGTTCAGAGTGATGATAATGAGGAAGCTTAACAGCACAAGTAAAGATATAGAAACATTGAAAACCAACCAATTGGAACTGAAGAATGACATAGCAGAAATGAAGAACACATCAGAAATAACCAGCAGAGTAGAGGAAGCTGAGGACCAGACCAGTGAATTGGAAGACACGGTAGAAAAAAATCACCCAATCAGAGAACCAAAGACAAAACAATTAAAAAACAGGAAGACAGCTTAAGAGAATTGTGGGACAACGGAAACGTGACAACATCTGTATCAAAGGAGTTCCAGAAGAAGAAAATGAGCAAGGGTTAGAGAATATATTTGAAGATATAATGACAGAAAACTTCCCTAACTTGGTGAAGGAAAAAGGCATACAAGTTCAAGAAGCACAGAGAGCCCCAAGTAAGAAGAACCCAAACAGGCCCACACCAAGACACATAATAATTAAAATGCCAAAAATTAAAGACAAAGAGAGAATCCTAAAGGCAGCAAGAGATAAGCAACAGGTTACCTACAAAGGAACTGCCATAAGGCTCTCAGCTGGCTTCTCAACAGAAACACTACAGGCCAGAAGGAAATGGCATAGAATAATCAAGGTCATAAAAAACAAGGATCTGAATCCAATACTATTCTATCCAGCAAGGCTATCATTCAAAATAGAAGGTTAAATAAAGAGCTTCCCAGACAAAAAAAAAGGCTAAGGGAATATATTAGCACCAAAACCAGCATTGCAAGAAATATTGAAAGGACTGCTGTAATTAGCAGAAGAAATAAGAAGAAAAATATAACCACAATAAACAAAAATGGCAATAAATAAGTGCATAGCAATAATAACCTTAAATGTACATGATTAAATTCTCCAATCAAGCTAAGATGAATCTGTATCATTCTGGCGAACACCACTTGCCCCTACCTGGTGACTGACTGAGAGCCTCCCTCAAGCAACTCCTGTACCACCAGAGGCTCTTTCAGTAACTGAGTCTAACTGGCAGGTAACAGGTGAGGGCAAATCTCAGGAAGCCTTGGGTCTTTTGCTGACCTGCCCCAAGTTCGGTGCTGGTGGAAATTGGTCTTGTTACACAGCTAGGCACACCCTGCCATGCCCAGCAAAGGCAGCTACAAATTATGGATCACTTTGTGCCTCCAAAAAGATAGCCCAGGGCCAGTCACTGGAAGTGCCTGACATATACCAGACGGGAACCCCTCCCAAGGGGCTCCAGAACCAACACAACCAGTGTTTCGGACCACATCAGAGCAAAGCCCAATTAACTCCACAAGGCAGACACCAGACCCTGTTGGGGTGAATTCAGCTTTGTGGAGCCAGTACCCATACAGCAGCTATACATTGCACTCAGGATTATTCCTCAAAGCCAGCTGAAAAAGCAACCCCACCCATGGACAGGCTAATAGCACTCAAGACTCAACTACAGCAGGAGGGCTACATAACCCACACAAGAAACATTTCTGGAGCACCCAGCTCAAGGGATTAGAAAGATAGCTCCTCTGAGCCCTGCAAGACACCTACTACATAAGGCCACCATACCAAGGCATGGCAGATCTACCTAATACACAGAAACAAACACAGAGAAACAGCCAAAATGGGAAGATAAAGAAACATGCCTCAAATGAAAGAACAGAAGAAATCCCCAGAAAAACAACTAAATGAAATTGAGGCAAGGAAGATACAAGACACAGAGTTCAAAACAATGGTTATAAGGATGCTCAAGGAACTTAGTGAGAACTTCAACAGCATGAAAAGGAGATAGAAACCATAAATTAAAAAAAAAACAAAAACAAAACATTAAAAAGTAAGGGATTTTCACACCCCATGGACATCAATGAATAGATCAGACAGAAAATCAATAAGGAAACAGCGGCTTTAAACAACAAACTAGATCAGATGGATTTAATGGATATCTTCAGAGCATTTCATCCCAAAGCAGCAGAATATACATTCTTTTCAAGTGCACATGGAATATTTCCTAGGATAAACCACACATTAGAACACAGAACAAGTCTCAATAAATTTAAGAAGACAGAAATAATTTCAAGCATCTTCTCTGACCACAATGGTATGAAACCAGAAATCAATTACAAGAAAAAAACCTGAAAAACATACAAGCACAAAGAGACTAAATAATGAATGGGGTGAACGATGGGATCAATGAAGAAATCAAAAGTTACCTAGAGACAAATGAAAATGAAAACACAACTCAAAGCCTATGGGACACAGCAAAAGCAGTCCTAAGAGGGAAATATTCATAGGCCTTCCTCAAGAAGCAAACAAAATTTCAAACCAACTAAACTTACACCTAAAGAAACTTGAAAAAGAACAAACAAAGCCCAAAGTGAATAGAAAGAAGCAAACAACAAAGATTAGAGTGAAAATAAATGACACAGAGATTACAAAAAAAAATTTTTTTAAAGCCCTGGCCGGTTTGGCTCAGAGGTTAGAGCGTTGGCCCGAAGACCGGAGAGTCCCAGGTTTGGTTTCCACTAAGGGCACGTATCTCAGTTTCAGTTTGTCCCTTGCCCCGGTTAGGGTTGTGTGGGTGGCAACCAGTCAATGTATCTCTCTCACATGGATGTTTCTCTCTCTCTCTCTTCCTCTCTCTCTCCCTCCCACTCTATCTGAAGATAAATGCAAAAATGTCCTCAGGTGAGGATTTAAAAAATCAATGAAACCAAAAGCTGGTACTCTGAAAAAAAATAAACAACTGACAAACCTTTAACTAGACTCATAAAGAAAAGGAGAGGACCCAAATAAATAAAATCAGAAATGAAAGAGGAAAAGTAAAAACTGACACTACACAAATACAAAGAA